GAGGAGGAGGTGGGACGACAGGAGGAAGGGGGGATGAGGGGAGGGAGGGAAAGGCTGGAAATACAAAAAGAAAAGTGTGGGGGACATGAATAAGAGGCTGGCAAGACGGGAAGAGAGGATGAAAGGTGAAGAAGAGGAGAAGAAAAGCGAGGAAGATGGGGGCAAGAAAGGACGGAACAGGGAGGAGGGGGAGGGGGGAAGGAGGGAGGGAAGAAGGGAAAGGAGGGAAGGGAAGTCAGGACGTGGAGGAGGAGGAGGAGGAGGAGGAGGAGGAGGGCCATAGCCATTTTGGCTCAGGCCATCTGCGGGGACTCTCCCCCCCCCCCGCGCGCCCGGAGGGGGGGGGGGGCCGCCAGCCCCCGCCCGCGGCGGCGGCGCCGAGCGCGGCCGCCCCCCGGGACTCCGCGGCGGCGGAGGCGCCGCCTGCGGCCGAGAGGCGCCCGCGACGCCCTTCGCTGGCACCTGCGGCACCGGCCCGCAACCGGAGGCCGCGTCGGGCTTCGACCACGGCAGAGGTTCAAGACATCGATCCCGCCGGCATCGAAGGCCGCGTTCACTGAAGCCTCGCAGCCAGCATCGGCGCCAGCATCGGCATCAGCAGCGACTCCAGCATCGGCGCCGACACGACCTCTCAGCGGGCGAAGAACGGTAGAAGATAGACTTTTCCGCTGTCGGGGGCGCCTGTCCCAGGGCGGCTGGAAAGTCTATGCCCTAGCGGTGGCAGCGTAGGGGTATCGACTTTCCAGCCGCCCAGGGGCAGGCGTCCCCGACGGCGGAAAAGTTTGTGTTGTACCGTTCTTCGCCCGCTGAGAGAGGTAGGGGAACGAAGCACGGCAGAAATAGAAAAACTCTGAGGTCCGCGCGGATTTCTCGGATCGGCGCTTGGGCCCCCTGGCGGCGCCTCAGGCGCTGCCCCTGGCGCGCTCGGCGCGCCAGGGAGGGGGGCCCCAGCGCCGATCCGAAAAATCCGCGCGGACCTCCGAGTTTCTATGCTTCTGCCAACCCTTCGCTCCCCCAACAGGGGCCCCGCGCCGCTGCCCGCGCGCCAGCCCGCGGCCGCCGCCGACAGCGCCCGCACCGGCGCCGGCACCAACCTTGGAATGCGAGCTCGGCAGCGTCGGGCTTCGACAACGCCCCCCCTTGATGGGCCTGTTTTTCACCACCACCACCACCACCATAAGTTGAAGGGGGAAGGGGGTCCTCCTCCCCCTCTTCTTCTTCCTCCTCCTCCTCATCCTCCACCTCCTTCCCCCTCCAACTGATGGTGGTGGTGGAAAACAGGCCCATCACCCCTGTCCCCTGCCGCCAGCACGCGGCCGCCGCCGCCGTCGCCAGCACCAGCGCCGGCACGCCAGCCTCGGCTGCAAACACACTCTGCAGGCCCAGCCGGGCCTGGGCCCCACGGGAGCGGGGAAGAGTCGTGCCGGAGGCTCGCCTGCGCCGCCCGCTGCGGTCACATCTGCGTAGATGACCCTGCAAGGATGACCATGAAGAAGCAGTCCGACCGGCATCAGAGCGACTGGAATCAGAAACGGAACGCCCGTGCCCACGCCAACGCCCACTCCAAGGTCACGCCAGCACCAGTACCGACGAAGATGACGTCCACGATGCGCACGAGCGCACTGCTCACAACCACGTCCGCGAGTACAAATATGTTGTCGTCAAAGCCGCGCTGGGAGCATGGTACACTCACCACAGCCACGACCAGCAGCATCAGCAGGACCATCACAACTACGACGAGCAGCACCGCTGCAAGGACTGGGGCAAGCAGCACCACCACCACCAAGACGTCCTGACCCTGCCGCCCTCAATCCCGTCCGCTACGTGCCGAGAGGAGTACGATCAGGCCAAGGAGGAGCAGGAGGGGGAGAGGCTGAGACCCTGGAGGTGGCCCTGGTCGAGGCGGAGGTGGTGGACCTGGCGGAGGCGGCAGAGGCGGCGGAGGCCCAGGAAGCGGCCCAGGGTGAGGCGGCGGCGGGGGTGGCCGCCACGACGGTGGAAAATGGGGGCCCTGGGTGCGTTTATCGGGGGGAACGAAAAGGGGGGATAGCAAAGGGTAGGGTAGAGAGTCAGCTCACGTGGCTGATTTTCCCAGCGCCTCCCAGCGCCGGGAGGCGCTCATGTATCGAGGAACGGGCCCAGCGGCGGGGCCGAAACCAGCTGCATCTGCAGCGGATTTCGTGACCCCCCCTTTCCCTATCCCCCCCCCCTTCCGTTCGGCCTGTCCTGGGGTTGTCGTGGTGGCGGCGGCCGTGGCGGAGGAGGCTCAGGAACAGGCAGGGACCGCCGCCACCGCCTCGGCGCCTCCTTGTCCGCGCCCCCACGTGTTCTCCGCGCGACCGTCCCCCTCGGCGCCTCCGCCCCGACGCCCTCCCCAAGACCTCACCACGCCCGCGCCCACGCCGCGCACAGCGCCCAAACCGACACACCTTGCGACGTCCCGCGCCAACTCCCAGATGACGCCCAACGCGACACCCAAGCCGACGCCCCCCGGACCCCCGACCCCGCGCCCGACAACCCTGTGCCACACCCCTCACACACACACACACACACACACACACACACACACACACACACACACACACACACACACGCCCAACACCCGGCGGCGAGCGAGGGGGGGAGGAAATTGAGGAGGAGGAGGAAGAGGAGGAGGCCTGCTCAGAAGACGGCGGGGCTTCCCAGAAGGCCTCCGGACCTTCTGGGAAGCCCGCCCCGTCTTGCTTCCAGCCCTCGCTCGCCGCCGAACCTTTTGCGTCGGCGGCTGGGCACGGGACGACTGCGCTGGCGATGGGATGCCTAAACGGGGATGCCGCTGGAGCGAATGGTGCCACCATGCAGGAGGAGGAGGAGGAGGAGGAGGAGGAGAAGGCGGAGGAGGAGGAGGACGAGGAGGAGGAGGAGGCGGAGGAGGAGGAAGAGGAAGAGGAGGAGGAGGCGGAGGAGGCGGAGGAGGAGGACGAGGAGGAGGCGGAGGACGCGGAGGAGGAGGAAGAGGGGGCGGAGAGAGGAGGAGAGAGGGGTGGGGCGCGGCCAGAACAGGGGCGGGCGGAGCGAGCGGCTCTGGGGGGACACGGAGCGCTCCCCGAGCGACCAGGACGAAGCGCGGCCCGTCCGTGCCCAACGGCCCCCCTGCCGCACGGCCCCGTGGCCCGCGCCCCCGGCCGTGCCGCGGCGGCCTCGGGCAGACGACCCCGGGGCAGAGGCCGCCCCGCGCGATCCTGCGCGGCGCTGTTCGGCGCCGCGTTTGCGCGGCGCCACTCGGGGCTGGTGGCCTCCGGGCCTGTCGGACGGGGGCCACTCCCCCCAGGGGCGTCTGCCCCCCGTGGGGGGTCGAGAGAACTGCCCCCCCCCAGCAGGAGGAGGAGCAGGAGCAGGAGCAGGAGGAGGAGGAGGAGGAGGAGGAGGAGGAGGAGGAGGGGGAGGGGGAGGGGGAGAAAGAGGAGGAAGAGAAGAGAAGGAGGAGGAGGAGGAGGAGGAGGAGGAGGAGGAGGAAGAGGAGGAGGAGGATCGAGGGGCGAGCCCGAGGACGACGGCGGCACCATCGACGGCCCCTCCCGCTCTGGACTGGGGCACCAGACAGCCGGCGGCGCGCCGCGCGCGCGCGCCTGCTGCCGCCGGCGGAGCTCCTCCTGCGCGAGCTGGCTCGACTCCTGCGGGCGGCGTGGCGCGGCGCGGCGCAGAGGCAAGGCGCTACGCCCGCGGCGCGTTTTCCCAGGGAGGGCAGCCCGCGGCGCCCGTCCGAGCGGCAGGAGGCAGGAGGCGGAAAGGGGGAGGCGGCAGAGGGAGCGAGCGAGGGGGGGGGAGGAGAGTAGGGGGGGCAGGGAAGAGGCGGGGAGGGAGATGGACGAGGATTTTTGGATTGCACGCGCGTTGAACCTGGCGGCTGTCTCGAAAGAGTGGCGCTGCGGCTAGCAGAGGCAGCTCGCACAGACAACTCGTGCGTCTATACTGAAAATCGAGGCTCGGAAACTCTGCACGGGCACCGAAGGTCAAGTACACCACAGTAAGCAGTTCGGGCGTCGGCGCCGAAGTACTAGCCCACAGCTCCTTCCACCATCCGATCAAGCCGATAGTAACCCACCGACCTCCACCAGTCAGTAATCATCAGTCTCTTGAAACAGCTGAGGCTGGGATCAGCGCAGCTGCGGGACTGCCGCGTCGCTGACTCGCAACCGTGGTCAGTATGAGAGAGCATGCAAGGGCGGCGGTCCTGCTAGGGCGTTCCCGGCGCGCCCGTCCGCCAGGGCTCGGGTCTCTCACAACACAGCGTGGGGGGGAGCGAGGCAAAAAGAGAGGGAGGGTTGCGTGCTGGCTCGCTGCAGAAAGGCTCGCTGCGATCTTCACTCTAGGTTTGCACGACTTCCCTCGTCTCACGCAGAGCTGCACTGCACTCGAAACCGGCTGGGTCGCCCCTGCTCGTCAGTCATGCCGAGGCCTCGGCTGAGGCTAGTGGCAGCTGCCAACTGGCGGAGCGAGCAAGGCACACCCTACCCTTTTACCCCTTCCGATGTAGGCCTCCACTCCTCACCCTGCTGCTCCATAACTGCCTATGCAAGATGCAATGCAGGCTGGCTGGCGCCACGGCGAGCAGGCGCGTGCGCACCTGGCGAGCCGCGGCGCGCACGGGCGAGCTCTCGGGGGTCTGGTGCCACACACAACGGATGGAGGAGGGAGGAGGGAAGGGGAGGAGGGGGGCGGGGCGAGGAGGAGCGGGAGGGAGGCGTGGGCGACGACGACGACGACGATGAGAAGGCCGAGAAGGCCGGGATACCCAGGAGAAGGGGGGTTAGGAGCACGACGACGACGACGACGACGACGACGACGACGACGACGACGACGACGACGGTGACGGTGACGGTGACGGTGACGGTGACGGTGACGGTGACGGTGACGGTAACGACGACGACGACGACGACGACGACGACGAGGACGACGAGGATGAAGACGGCTGCGACGAAAACAAGGCGTGAGCAGCACAACAGAGCGAGGCCCGCGCAGGGTGGCGAGTGGAGGCTGGAGGGCGGCCGCGGGGCGGCAAGGATCGGCGGCTGCCGCCTCGAGGCAATAGGTGAGGATGTCGCGGGCCTTGGGCGCCGCGCTCGGGGCGGTATCGCTCGTTTCCCGCTCTGCCTCCGCCGCCGCCGCCTCCACATCCCCCTCCTCGTCCTTCTCCTCCTAAGACTCCCCCATCCTCGGACTCCCCATCAGCAGCAGAAGCATCAGCGGCGGTGTCGTCATCATGATCATCAGCAGCAGTAGAAACATCATCCTCATCCTCGTCCTCCTCCTCATCATCATCACCACCACCACCGACGACGACGACCACAGCAACCGCATCAACAACTACAACAACAACAACAACAGCAACAACAACAACAACCACAACAACAACAACAACAACAACAACCACAACAACAACAACCACAATAACAACAACAACAACAACAACAACAGCAACAACAACAACAACAACAACAACAACAACCACAACCACAACCACAACCACAACCACAACCACAACAGCAACAACAACAACAACAACAACGACAACACCAACAGCGACAACAACAACAACAACACCAACAACAACGTTGTCATTGTCAGTGTCACTGACAGATTCCATCCTCGTCCTCAGCATCCTCCCCTCCTCATCATCCTCATCATCACCGTCATCATCCTCACTACTTACCCATTCTCCAACATGTTCCTCGTACTCACGTTCCTCCTCCTTCTCCTCCTCCTCCTCCTCCCCCATTCGTTGCCCTTATAAAGAACTCCTCCCTGTCGCACCCCGAGGCCGGTCGAAGGGGCGGGCTGGGCGTTTCGCCTGATAGTTCCTCACCATTTAAGACCCTAAAGCTAAAAATTGACAACATGTTCACAAATGGAGGGCGAGTGATTTTCAAAATGTGGCTCTCGCCTAAGCGTCGCGCACACTCGTTGCCAAAATTTGCAGAGGGTTTTACGGATTGAGGGCGGGCGGTCTTCAAAATGTGGCTCTCGCCTTGGCGCCACACGCATTCGTCATAAAAGCTTACAATAGTTTCACAAATGAAGGGCGGGTGGTTTTCAAAATATCGCTCTCGCCTTAGCGCCGCGCCCACTCGTCTTCAAAATTACAAGGGTTTCATGGGCTAACGGCGTGCGGTTTTCAAAATGTGGCTCTCGCCTCAGCGCCGCGCACATTCGTCCTAAACAGTTGCACAAGTTTCAAAGGTCCCCTTGGTCAACATACCACAGTGGTGTTTCGGAAAGATTCAGGATTGTGAGGGTGCAACAGTCACGTTGGTTCGCAGTGTTACAGCCCCAGGAATGGTGCCCTGGCACGATTCAGGATCGTCAAGACGCAGCAGTCAGGTTGATCCATGACGTTGGAGTCACGAGAATGGTGTTTTGGCCTGCTTCAGGGGCTTCAAAGGTTGTCCCCAAGCAAGGCAGTTCCCTCAGTGGGAATGAACCCTTATAGGGTCCTCCTATGAAGAGGAAGCTCGGAGGGAGGCTTTATTCCAACATCGTTGATGAGTCTTGGGTTTACACTGGTCCTCCTCCACCTCCTCCTCCTTCTCCTCCTCCCCATCCCTCGAAAACTCGCTCACGTCCTCCTCGAAGTCGTCGTCCTCCTCCGTACTCTTGTCATATATGTAAGTTTCCACTGTATATATTACAAGTACAAAAATACACAGACTCACTCGCGTGCGTTCCTCCACCATCTCCGCCTTCACGTCCTTCCCCACCTCCTCCTGATGATGATGATCATCATCATCATCATCATCATCATCATCATCATCATCATCATCAGCAACAGCATCATCCTCAACTTCATCATCATCAGCATCATCCGCAGCATCAGCAACATCATCATCAGCAGCAGCAGAAGTTTCATCATCATTATCCTGATCATCATCATGATCATCATCAGCATCAGCATAAGCATCGTCATCAGTATCATCGTCAACATCAGTAGCAACATCATCATCATCATCATCATCAGCATCATCATCAGCAGCAGCATCACCACAAACACGACCAATGCCACCAACCTGATCATTAGCATCACCATCAGCAGCAGCATCAGCATCATCATCACCACCATCAGCATCATCATCACCACCAGCATCATCATCTTTATGACCAGCATCATCATCAGCATCAGCATAATCATCAACAATAACAACAATAGCAACAGCATCCTCATCAGCATCACCACCATCAGCATCGCCCACCGTCATCGTCATCGTCATCATCGTCGGCATCAGCATCAGCATCATCATCATCAGCAGCAGCATCATCATTATCAGCATTCACATCGTCATCACCTTTAATAATCGTCATCGTATTGAGCATCATGAGCATCGTAATCGCAATAATCAGCATCATCAGCATGACCGGCATCATCATCATCGCCGTAAACACCGTCGTAATCAGCATCATCCGCATCAGTACCAACATATCATCATCATCAGCATCGTCATCATCGTCGTCATCATCATAATTTTCATCAGCACCAGCATCGTCATCATCGTCGCCATCACGATTGTCATAATCATCATCATCATCATCACCACCACCAACAACAACAACAACAACAACAACAACAACAACAACAACAACAACAGCAACAACATCATCAACAACTTACCTCTCCTCACCTCTGCCTCTTCGACATCCTCCGTATCCTCATCCTCCTGTTGTCCCTCCTCGTCCTCGTCAAAGTCCTCTCTCATCGGCATTCCTCTTCCGCCTCATCCACATCTACCTACTCCGTCTCCGCCCACTCCACCTCATCCCCCTTCAGAACTGCATACCCATCCATATATTTCTATTTCTCCACTCCACCAGCGGCGCGTCCCCTTCTTCGTGTTCCCAACCATCCTGTGGTGGTAGGTCCTCGTGTTGAAGAGACAGCGCCCCGCGTCTCACCTCCTCCCGCTGCCCCCTCCCTCCTCCCCCTCCTCCCTCCTCCCATCCGCCTCGTCATCGTCATCGTCAGCATCGGCATCGGCATCGTCATGATCCACATCATCATGATCATCACCATCGCCATCGTCAGCGCCGCGCCCCTCACACGGTTCGTGGCACCACAGGCAGCTCCACAGAAGGCCAAAGTGGCAGCGGTTGCATGCGTCACCGCCGCCCCGGACTGGTTGGTGGGACACCCTAGCTCTGGAGTAGACCCACTAAAAGAAATGGCTACTCAACATATGGAAACATATGCGGTGCCGCGTGTTAGTTTACCGCATCAAGCGGCAGCGTTGAAAAATGATCAGTAGCAGCCCCAGCGGCACACCCGTGAAGAAGGTGCCCGTGAAAACGGCGCTGGGTGGAAAACGCGGTGCCCCCACGCCCCCGCTGGTAAAACTCCCCAGAACGACAATCAACAGAAACCCGCAACGGCCTAAGCGCCGCAGTGGCCGGCACCCACGGAGCCCGTCCAACAACCACGCAGAGAGAGGACTTTTACGATGTTTCCACTCGTCACCGAGTCGTTGCCTCAATCCGCAGTGGTGCCGTAGGGGTAATCCTAGGGCAACCGCCGCGACCGGTCGACGACCTTTGCGGTCCCTGCCGATGGCCACTCCAAAGAGCCTGGCAGCGGCAGCGGGTGGCACCCCTCACACGATTAGTGCCCCCATAGGGAGCTCCACCGAAGGCCTCAGCGGGAGCGTCCGCAAGGCACCGCCGCCCCATTCTGGCACACCCCTCACACGGTTTTTGACTGGGGTCCCAGACCTGGGGCACCTTTGTTTGAGATTCGAAGCGCAGGGGGGCCAGCTCAGCTTCCAGAGCGTCCAACACACATCGGAGCGCGCAAGGAAAGCTGCGGCGTCAACTCGGGGACCTGCTGACCCGGGTCAATCCAGACCCGGGTCAGTCAGGCCTTGCAGGATCCTGCAGGATCCTGCGCCCAAACCCGGGTCAATGCGACCCCCTTGGCCCTGCAGCATCCTGCAGCATCCTGCAGGATCCTGCGCCCAAACCCGGGTCAATGTGACCCTGGCCTCTGCAGGATCCTGCATGTTATGGCGCCCTGGCTGACTCCCGTTTGAATTGACCCCCGTCTCTTGAGCCCCGATCAACATGGTTGGCGAGCCAGCCGGGCTCCTGGGGGTCCAGAGGACGTTGCGCACAACGAGCGCAACGTCCGAGCGGGACAAAACGACGCGACGGTGCTCGGGGGGTTCGGCGGCGGGTTCGGCGGCGGCGACGTGGTCCATCCGCCAGACCCTAGGCAGGGACTCGCAGTGCTCTTGGAGATCACGCTTCCAGCAGTGGGGAAGCCGGAGCGCCGAGGAGACACGTCCCACTGTGCGGACGCGCCCAGAGTTGGGTCGGGCATGTCCCCATACAGGCGGACCTTGGACGAAAAACAAAAAATTGACAAAAATAATCACATTTAATCAGAAATACTCAAAAAGTCGTCCCCCGACTATTTTTACTATTTTCAATGATACCGGAGAAAACCCAATCATTTTTTGGGGGGGCTATAGGGCTATTGGGCTGTTGGGCTATATGGCTATAGGGCTCTACGGCTACAGGGCTATAGGGCTATAGGGCTATAGGGTTATAGGGTTATAGGGCTATAGGGCAATAAGGCTATCGGGCTATAGGGCTGTAGGGCGACTGGGCTATATGGGGTATAGGGCTATTAGGGCTATAGGGCTATAAGGCTATAGGGTTATAGGGCTATAGAGCTATGAGGCTGTAGGGCTATGAGGCTATAAAGTTATAAGGCTATAGGGCCATAGGGCTAATAATAGGGCTACCGGGCACCCAGGCACCCAGGCACCCAAGCACCCGGGCACCTGTGCAGCCGAGCACCCGGGCAACCCCCGGCACCCGGGCACCCGGGCACCCAGGCACCCGGGCACCCGGGCCCGCCACCGAAATCGGCGGCACACCTCACCTAACCATGAATCCGCTAGGACCCCTACAGAGGCAAGCTCCGATTGGGGAATATTCCTCCTGTAGAGGGGGACAGGCCCGACTGAAGCCCAGAGCGGCGATCACGGCTCGAAAGCCCGCTGCCTGGGCCTCGGCAGCCAGCCGCAAGAGCCAAGAATTATTGGTGCCGAGCGCCGGCGCTG